AGCACATCTCCTGCAACGAATTTTTTGATCATCCAGCCGACCTGGATGATGCCAACTACCCCCCCACCCTTCACGAGGGTTACAATCTGACCCAGATCCATGTATATGCTCGCAGCGAAGAGGGCAGACGCGACCAGCAGCAGGGTGCTTTTTACGGTGTACAACCGATAATCCAGTAGGAGATTGAGATGCCGGCATCACGCGGTCGATGTAACCTATTGCCTCGACTGGTTAGTCAGCTAGTGCAAGTCCACGTTTAAGGGTTGAGATACAGTATCCTTCGATAATGAAAGGGACAGGGAATCACGTCTGCGCTCGGAGCAGACGATAAGTATGATTGAGATTGCCCAGCATAAAGAGAGCCGCGAATACAATCGCTGCAGGCATTGATGGGTTGTACTAATAAGCCACCCAGCCGCTATGCAAGTCGGAAGACATCTTGTTGAATGGTGGATGTATACTGCCACTAGAGAATTCGACAAGAACAGTATGCTTGACGAATATAGTAGTTCATTTCTTCAACTTATCTCTCGATCATATTCATAAAGCGACTCGCCTTTCATCGCCACTTGTATAGAAATTTCTATCTGCAGCTTCACGATCTGCAGCCTCGTATATCTCGTACCTATTTCCCGATTGGGAAGATACCCTCATCCTACGGCGGAATCAGACCGAGCATGTCAGAAGTAAAGACTAAGTAAGTACAATTTTGAATCCATTGATAAGGACTGGCGGAGAAAGACTTCTCCCTTGAATAAGACTTTCATCCATAAGCACTATACTGTCTATCAAGAGATCCACTCCTCTACAACCCCATCACCACACCCACCCTATACAAACTCCCCAAATCTATACTCAAGAGTAAACTACAACCGACTCTCCCTCTCCTCCCCATTAACCAACACATACCTAAACCTCGCCCTCCCCGCCTCCATATCCCTCAACGTCTCATTAACCTCCTCCATCCTCCTAGTCTCCACCCACGGCCTGACCCCCTTCTCCGCCGCAACCTCCAACATACACCTAATATCCTCACGGCTCCCAATATTCGACCCCGTCACATTAACCCCCTTCCCAATCAACTCAAACGCCCTCATCCTCGGCAACGGCTTCTCCGGCGCGCCCACCAACACAAACGTCCCGCCGGCCTTCAACAACCTCAAATACTTCCCAAGGGGCATATCATCGCCATCCACCGTACAAAGAATCAAATCCACCGTTCGACTCCACTTCTTCTCCCACCCTTTCTCCTCCCCCGTCGCAATAAACTCATCAGCCCCTAACCCCTTCACCGCATCCTCTCGCTTCCCATTACTCCTCGATATCCCAATAACCCGCTCACACCCCAACGCCTTCGCAAACATAATCCCCAAATGACCTAGCCCGCCGATCCCCACCACCGCTACCGTCTTCCCCTTCCCACTATCCGCCCCATCACCAAGATACTTCCTCAACGGCGCAAACACCGTCGTCCCCGCACACAGCAACGGCGCCGCAACCTCACTCTCTAATCTCTCCGGAATCCGGAACGCGAATGCCGCGGGCCCGCGCCATTTCCGCGCGAATCCCCCGTACGCTATCACATCGCTTCGCTTTCCGGTCTCGTTGTCCCAGTATCGGCTGTTATACGTCCCCGTGATGCGTGGACAGTAGTTCTCTTTCCCGGCGACGCATTCCTCGCATGAGGGCTGTAGGCACGAGTGGGTTTGGGCGCCGATGCCGACTCGGTCGCCAATGCGTAGTGGTGTGGTGTTGGGGTGGGTGGGGATGGATGAGCCGATGCGTGTCACGATACCGATGATTTCGTGGCCCACGATGCAGGGGTAGGTCGTTGTGTTGGGGCCCCAGCCTGAGCGGAGCGTGTGGAGGTCGGTGCCGCAGATGCCGCAGTGGGTTATGTTGATTTCGATGTCCGTGGGAGTGAAGGGTTTCGGGGTGTACGGGGCGTAGGTTAGGGGCGTGGTGGGGGAGTGGGAGAGGTAGCCGTGGAAGTGTTCGGGGGTGTGGGGTGGTGGCATTTTGTTGTTTGGTTTGGGTTGGATTGTGTGGTGGTTGTGGTTCTTAAGTGTGAAGGAGGTGGTGAGTGCGGAGAAGAAGTTGATATAAAGGAGAGAATGCGGAGAAGTGCCGAGGTCCGTTGATTAAGTTGGGTTTGGAACAGCCGAATGTGGAATGTCCGAGTTGTGGGGATCTACAACACGTGGTCGGTGGCTACTTTAGTTAGTGCCTCGGATTATTCTACTCATTATGTATATTATGTAGACGATGTATGTTTTAAAGGTAGGTTGAATTGTGTAAAAATGTAGTAAACTATAAATGTGTTGCTCACATATGTGGCAGGTATCATAAACTCTCCACAGGCATCTATCTATACACCCCTCTCCTGACACCACTTCTCTACCTCCTTCGCCAACTTCTCCCGCTGGTCGCGCACCATCTCCATCATCGGCTCAACCTGCTTTGCATAAGCATCGTAGCCCTTCTGTCCGTCCGGTCCAAGGCCATCCCCCTTCTGAGGCGCCAGATACGTGTCGTAGACCGAGATCATCAAGTCCATCACAGCAGACAGCTGGTTGGGGAGCCACTGTAATGTGTTAGTCACTCTGCCAATACATCTGACTCCAAAAGGCACGCATAGACATACCGTAACAATAGGGCTTCCGCCAGTAGCAGTAGGGTGCGGCGTGCGGCGAATAATGTACTCGCGGGCAAACAGCCAGTGTCGCCAGCGGAAGCTGCGCACGTGGTTAAGAGTTTTCAAGAGAAGAATAGCCGTCTCGGTATCTGCCAGCGCAAAGTTGCGCACCCCGACCTCTTCCGACTTGGAGTTGATGTGCGCGAGGAACTCGCGGTGGGGAAGCGGACGGTAGGCGCGGAACTCATGCAGCACTTTTGTGAGCGGGTTGGAGGGCATGGGGATCTGGCAAAGGTGATCGAGCAGTGGGATCTATGTAGACATTAGCTTGATATTGACTTTCTTGTGGAGTACGATAGGGCTGCTTACCATGCTGTCGTTTGCACCACTCTCTCCGCGGAAGAAAAGAGGCTTGTTGTCGAGTACCCCGTCGTAGACGACGCCGTTGGGGAACATGGACTGAGAAGTGATTCCGAAGATGAAGACGCGGAAGGAGAGGTAGTCCTGGGGCTTGGAGTTGGCCCACATGTCTGTAATCGTTAGCTGGAGTGTACTGATACAAGTAGGAAGCATATGCATACCCTCCATGGCTGCTTCGATCTTTTCCATCGACTCCAGGATCTCTCGGAACCCGTCGTTGACTACCGAGCGGGGTCCACCCTGCTCAGCGGTGTCGACAACTTTGACAGCTCCGCTGATCAGGCCGCTCGAGTACTTGACCATGTCCACATGGGTCAGGATAAATCCTGCCTCTGAGCTCTTGGGGTCGAGGCCGTTTTCAAAGGCGCGGACCAATCTAAGGTTGGGGTAGACCAGGCCCTTGGATGGCTCGGCCAAGGTGTAGTTGAAGAGGGAATATGCAGCTGCATAGGACAAGAAGGGAGGAATGTCCAAGCTGTATCATATTAGTATATTGATCAAGATACTATATATAAGTCATGTGGGGTAGACATACAGCTGAGCACAACGGTACATGGGACGAGCTACAGTCTTGGGCAACAGGTCCCGCCCCAGCCCATAGCCACTCTCAGGGTCCTTGCACCAGTTCTCCCAGCATGGCTCGAGGATATAAGCCGAAGCGAGGAACGAATAGTCCCGGAACAGAGCAGCAATCATGTACAGGTCCGGCAACCCCTCAGGGGTGACCTGCTTGTCGATCTCATCCGTCAAGTCAGGCAGCTCAGCCAGGACAGCAGGGCCCAGCTCATACTTGGCAAGCAGACCTGGAGAGCCATCTTCCTTGAGTACTGGCATCCGCTCAAGCAGGGACATCAGGGGTTGGAAGACATCAGGCAGCTTGGTAGGGGCAGTGAGGTAAGGGAGGAAGCCAGTGGAGGTGGTGATAGTAAAGGGGTCCAAGGACCGGGGCACAGTGGAAGGGTCATCATGAATGTGAGGGAAGCGATCCACAGTGCTGTTGGGCAAGGGGACTCTAGAGGGAGACATGGTGTGGAGGTAATGTAGTATAGAAGTCTATCCGAGATGTAAGGCAAATGGATGATGACGTGATGACGATGAGAGAGTATAGGGTTGGTAGAGACCCAAAGTCAAAGAAAGAAGAAGATAAGAAAAACGGGAAGTTTCCCACTGCGAATGTTTGCGGATACTAGAGGATCTGGGAAGGAGAGCTTGGGAGTCAGAATTGGGCGGGAAAGCAGGCGATTCTTATAATACTCAGAGGCCGGTATCAATTCCGGCCTCAAAGGCACCATTACGAAAGAGGCAGGAAAACTGCGTGGGGACCTCAGACTCGTTCGCGATAACGTAGCATCATGAATAATGGACCATACTACGTGATATATTGGGGTTCTGCGATGATTCTACGCAGAAACAACACCCCTTACAGGCATGTCTGGCCATCAGATGCACGTCCATCGACTCTATACAAACTCTTGGCAAATAAGGGCACGCCAGAATCACGGGGACGCGCTATTCCCGATTGAGCAGGGTATAGCAGCTGCACCCTGTGCTTGTTCCGAGGTCTAGCCGCCTGGTGGCGGTCATAAAGGTGCTGGTATATATTTACAGGCTCCTGATAATAGGATAGGCCTTTTACTACTCTCGAAAATACTTCTAACGCAGCCATAACTGCCCCAAAGCGTTGCCGTCTACATTATGGACTGCTTTATACTTCACCAAATGCCAAGGCTTTATGTCACATGGCCCCCAGCATGATTGGCCAACATCCTTGGATCGCGGCCGAATAGGCTTTCCTAGTTGCATGAGGCCGGAATTGGGCCGGCCTCCGATGATAGCCGGCCTCCTTTTATGTCGGTCAGCGATCGCTCCTATCTCGGAGTCCGCCGGCACGTGTCACCGTGCCGTTCTTGGCTGATAAGGATGTTACTACAACAATGCTAGATATCAGCGTGTCTGAGACTGACATATATTTCTGCTAAAGCAATACGGAATGAATATATGTTCATGCATAGCAGTGCTTCTTATACCGCTGCCATATAGCCTTCGCATTGCCTTCTTTCAGCAGGTGTGGCGCTGAACAGCCAATCCCTTAGCGAAGCATGTGGTCTAGAGACAGACTGAATCTATAGTATACAGAGGCGGGTATGGATATTGATCTCTAATGTACATTTTGGGTATATTCTACAAGCATACAGCCATCACATGCCAAGTGGACATCTATACCTGCTCTCTCGTTAAGAAGGGTTCACCTCCGAACACCAAGGGAATGAACATACCAGACAAAGTCTATGAATCGTAAAGAACCGCTCGGGCGTGTATCATGATGTTTGTCCTTGATTCGACTTCCCTCCGCTTGGATCATCAACGCTGGGCGAGACCTTCTGTAGCTTCCGGTACTCTTCTTCCAACGCCCTTTGCATCTCAAACTCGGCCTGTCGCTCCCTGCGGATACGCTGTTTCTCCATGTCTAGCTCAACCGCCTTGTGCATCCCCTAGATACGAAGCAAGCATTAGTCACTGCAATTGTCCTGGCCATAAAGCACCGGTGACCTACAATTTTCTCTTGTTCCTGTGCCCAGTGAACAAAGTAGATGATCCCCGCCGTACCGAGACCAGTCGCGGCCAATGTCAATTTGGAAGCACGAGACATATTGCCTTGTATGCAATTTGTAAATTGCGCGACAATTTCAAAGAAGCAGTAAATAAATGAACGGTTGAATGCGCGAGTGGCATCATGTCCAAATCTGCGTCGGATTATCGGTGATATCAGTGATGGCGGTGTCTGGTGGCAGAACCCCGACCGCCTAAGGGGTCATTCGTGGCGTCGGGGAGATCGAACGGCGCATCACAAGCTCACGACTCCACCTCTGTATACTCCTATATTCTCCGACTCTTTCGTTCTCATAAGCGCCTTTTCTGAGAAATAATACTGCAAAGATGGTGAGGAGAATGTGTCGCTCGACTTGGGAAATTGCCATACTGACTCTTTCGGATAGTCCGCTCAGAACTCCGCAGGCATTCAGACCCTCCTCGATGTAGGTCGCATTTGATTGAACTGGGTGGGGTATAGTGGTTGACCATCTCTATTTCAGGCCGAAAGGGAGGCTCAGAAGATCGTCCAACAAGGTTAGTTTACACTATCCCTAAAAGAATTTCGAACCATCAATCAGTGCTGACGTGTCGCATTATCCAGCCAGAGAATGTATGTCATCAGACACCCGATAACCACAGCATCCCGATTAATGTTCTTGTAGACCGCACGAAGCGCATAAGGGAGGCAAAGTCCGAAGCACAGAAGGAGATTGAGGAGTACAGAAAGCAAAAGGAAGAGGAGTTCAAGAAGTTCGAGGCTGAGGTATGAATGACTATCTGTCCTGCGGGGTTGAAGTTGGGAGATGCGACATTTGGACGAACGTGAAGGTTGACATTACTGTTTCTAGCACTCGAGCGGATACAAGAAGGCCGAGGAGGATGCGAACAAGGAGGCTGAGGTGAAGCTCCAGGAAATCAAGGATGCTGGCAACGAGAGAGGTGGAAAGGTTATTGAGACTCTTATCCATGCGCTGGTCGATGTGAAGCCCGAGCCGTCCGAGAAGATCGTGATCAAGGCATAGAGAAATGATGCCGGTTGTCATTGCGGCAGCATGAGGGGTTCTTGTTTGTCATTTGCTTTCAGCCTGTGAATATAGTTCTGGCCCGCTGTTTGAGCATTACATAAATTATGTTGTATCCTGTCTGAAGCTGGCAAGAGTCAACTTGAAGTTGTCTCGATTTCTCGATGCTGTTATAAGGTTGTTGCAAGTCAACCTATAAGGCCCTTGAAGCACAACCCAGCATACTAGTGTAGCGCTTATGTACACCAATAATAGTAAACTAAAAGAGAAAGGCTAGCTCGTTGATCGCATGCATGCTTTTATTGCCAGTTACAAGCTGTGGATACAGTAGACGTTGTCAGTGCCATGGTGTTGCGGCCTAAGGCATGAAGTGCCCAGTAACTGTTGCGTCATCAGGAACACCAGGCTGCCCCCAATGTATACATTTCTCTCAAGCCTCTCTTCAGCATCACACAATTAGTGAGAGGAATCATAAGATGAGACATGCCGTTGCCGTGTCCAACGGCGTAAGAAGCATCAAATTTCATTCGCTCTCTGTCCGCTATCCAGCCCTGAGGTGTCTTTCTTCCTCTGCGTGTAGGCACAGCCCACAACATCCCAGCAGCCCCGATGCTCTCGATCCGCGCCTGGAAGACCTGGGGAACGTTATCAGAGATGAATATGCGATAATTAGGGAGAACTACAGTAAGCATGGGCCATGCAAAGACTTTATCATCGGTGTCGAGCTACTGATACTCCGTTAACAGATGCCCCAAAACATGCAGTTGTTCTCGCGCATGGCCTGCTTGGATTCGCTGAGCTGCGTCTTGCTGGACGTTATCTTCCTGGAGTTCAATATTGGCGTGGTATTAAGGAAGCTTTATCGATGCAAGGGGTTCGGGTCATTACTGCCACAGTGCCTCCCTCCGCATCCATCGAAACGCGTGCTGAAGAATTAGCGAGAGATATCGCTGCCGGTGCACCCGGAGAACATGTAAATATTATTGCGTAAGTTTCTACCCCAGAAGATATGATGTTGACTTGTCTGACCTAAAATAGTCATAGCATGGTAAGTGCAACATCTACCTACCATTGCGGGAGCCGTTGTTGACACTTCCCTTAGGGGTAAGAACCAGGAAAGTCTACCCTTCAATAGCAGATACTTATCAGTGCTCAAGCGGGCTTGACTCTCGATATATGATCACTCATTTGAAGCCGACTGATTTCAAAGTAAAATCGTTGACCACGATTGCGACTCCCCATAGAGGTATGTGACGTCTCGAGATAGGCAGAAGATGTACTCAACGTTTCTAGGCTCTGCTGTTGCAGACTTCGCCCTCAAGCAGATTGGCGGTTAGTATGCACTTCGCTTCTATAAATACTATCTAACGTGGTCTTAGATGACCGCCTTGCCCAGCTGTACTATGCTCTGGACCGGCTAAAGGTAGAAACGGGCGCGTTCGCCCAACTAACCCGTGAATATATGACGAACACCTTCAACCCCGCAACGCCAGACATTGAAGATGTCCGGTAGGTCCCCACTGGCCGAAGATGGTGCCGTCATCAGCATGGCTGAGTTATGCAGATACTTTTCGTACGGGGCGGCAATGCAGCCAAGTTTCTGGTCCGTCTTCCGTCTATCCCACCGTCTTCTGGAACAAATAGAAGGGTACAATGATGGACTTGTCAGCGTTGCCAGCAGCAAGTGGGGAGCATACAAGGGCACCCTGGAGGGCGTCAGCCACTTGGACTTGATCAACTGGAGCAATCGACTCAAGTGGCTGGCCGGAGAAATTACAGGCAACAGACAGAGGTTCGCCAATAGACTTCTGAACGCAATTCATTGGACATGCGAGCGCCCCTGCTGACATTGGCTGTTTTTTTCTTGTGTCGTATAGGTTCAACGCCATTGCATTCTACCTTGATATTGCAGGTAAGGCGCGAAATTGTCTCGGCAGCGCATCGGTCGATAACCATGGCTATTGATTCTAGACATGCTCGCTAAGGAAGGACTCTGACGACCCACCCCACTGCAGTCAAATTGGAAATCTTGGTGCCTAGAAGTGTACTTGTAATTTGAAGTATAGATCACTTGGCGATACCCAATTAATTCATACCATCAGTTCTTTGATATCTACTGCCATGGCTCTGCTAGCGTCCGTGACGTGGCGGTGCAACGGGAGGGGATATCCATACTAAGTTACTAACACCATAGAGTTTTGTTCGGGGTGGCTGAGCAGAACCCCGGCTGTGACGCGAATCGGAGGCCAGCAAAAACCAGCCCTGCGAGAGGATCGCCATTCAGTCTGGCTCTTCTTCCCCCGTCAGACACTGTCAGACTGAAAGACCCAGAATGGGTCGCACCCACCGTATGATTAAAAAAATCCGGTCAATGAACTCCACCGATTGCTCGCTCAGATCAATCAGCAGTCATGACTCCAGGATAGTATTCATTTATTAGGAATGGTCTATTGTTTTTTGTTCGAGAGGGAAAAGTTCCGAACGCGCCGAGACCGTACAGTTCTCGGGTTGCCCCACGCCTTGCGCTTTTACGTCCCCTGGATTCAAACGTCATTTTCCCAGCTTGTAATAATCTAGTCAGAAAGTCACTGCCGAACTCCCGTCTTCGTTTTTCTTCTCCCAGCTTTCCACATCCGCCGTGCACTGGTTTCTGTTTCCTTTGTTTACTTGGAGTTCCATATTCCGCTCTCAGTAGATATTCTCCCTCATATTTCTCCCAGTGCATCGTCGTCTACTCCAGCACAGACTGACTGACTGGTTCGGTCCCTGACATCGAGCCTGTGCACATTTGCCGGCAGGCCCGCTTCAACCGCCACACGGTTCACCAACTTGTGGTCGTCATGTCTGTAATCATCCACCTGGACCGGCCACATAAGCATTTCACCAATCTCGACTATCTCACGGGAAAGGTGATTCTACAATTACACTCTGAAGCTGCAATCGGAGGCATTCAAGTAAAATTAGAAGGCGAAAGTCGGACGCGCCTGGCCGGTCCGAAATATCCACATAATGAGCAATCGGATAAGAAGCGTACCGAAATCGAGGTTCACAAGGTGCGAATCCTAAGCCATTCCCCTCCAACTTCCTCTTCCTCTTCCTGCCGAGGCGCGAAAGAAATTGTTGTGATGGACTTCAATGCAAGCGATACTGATCTTAGCTGTTGTAGATCCTGTACAAAGTCGAAACGGTTTTCCCCACTGCCGCAGTATTCAATGCAGAGACTCCAGACAGAGCTTATACATTCGCAAGAGGGACGTATGAGTATCCCTTCAAATTCAAGGTCAGTATACTGTGCATGGTAATACCTGTGACATACAGAACTTATAGTGGCTGTGCAGTTCCCATTCAACAATTCTTGCAGCATACACAATAGCATGCTTACGAACCTGAACATCACGGGTCTGAGGGTCGAAATGGCCAGGGACACCACTCGCCATGTGAAAAAGACACTCCCTCCATCTCTCAGTGGCTTCCCTGGCATGGCCGACATCAAGTACTATGTGAAAGCGACGGTTATTCGTCCCCAGTTCTACAAGGAGAATCTCAGGGCGGTATGTTGGTTTAAATGAGCGATCGCTGCGAGAAGAGGATAATCTGCAGCATTCCAATGCTGACAATTGGCGTCTAGATCACCAACCTAAACTTCCTTCCCATCGAGCCTCCCAGGACAGGAAAACCGAACGAAGAAACTTATGCAAGACGACAACACCAATTTACGGATGCCCCGAATGTGTCCAAGAAAAGAAGCCTTTTCCAGAAGATGTCGAGCAGTTCGCTCCGGGACACCGCAGGCGGTTCCCCTCGCGTATCCGCTGACCTGCGACTACCCAACCCATCAATTCTGACCTGCAATGAGCCTATACCGATGCGTGTCCTCGTCAAGAAACTATCGGAGTCTTATGAGACTATTTTCCTGCAGATGATCCAGGTCGAGCTGATTTCTTATACCAACATCGTCGCTCATGACTTACGGCGCACCGAAAGCGGCACTTGGGTCATTCTCAGTCAGAGTAATATGGCCGTGCCTCTCGGCAGAGGTGGAGACCCAGCGGATACGGAGTGGACGATTGATTCTAGTTTATGGAGTGGCATACCTCTACCCAGTACGGTAGCGCCGTCATTCGAGACCTGCAATGTCTCGCGGACGTATGAGCTCGAAGTTCGAGTGGGCCTGACCCATGGAAGTATTGGGAACATGAAGGTAAGTTGTCAGCTGCACATTTCTAGATACTTTTGCTCATAACCATTAGCCCCAACTTATCGTTCTTCCGCTACGGATGCCCGTGAAAGTTTACTCCGGCATCGCTCCTCCGAAAGCACTTCTGGATGCCATGGCGGCCAATGGTCAGGCCAGGCCAGTGGCTAGCCCTACAAGTCCCACCGGATCGATGGATAGCACACGCCCCCCAATGCCGCCTCGGCCTGCTAGACCTCCTGTGCCTGCCAATCCTGAGGACGGCTACGACGATGCACCTCCCAGTTACGAAGATGCCATGGCTGAAACTCTCAGCCCTGTAGATGGCCCCCGTCGAGAGTATAACCCACCAGATGCCTCTTCCGAAAGATCTGTTGAACCTGGAGCTGATCCGCGATCTCCAGTTGGAAAGGAACCTGAGGCGTCCACACCGTACGGCAACCAGGAGGCGATGTCCTCGTCGGAGACACTCGATATGCTGCCCGAAAGCCCACCAGAGTCCCGCTCTGGTTCACCCCCAAACTCTCCCGTTGCGCGTCAACAAAGCGTGCTCAAAATCCACAAGGCTCCCCTTCTGCTGGAGGAGGATAGCCCTCCCGAATATCAGACGATTGCAGCTGGCAAGCCGCAAGCATCTCATAGCCAGGTTAACCGTGTGCCGTCCCAGCCAGGAAGCAGGCCCATGAACCTGGGCGTTCCCAACCGGAAGCCAGTTCCCCGGAGTCCAAGTAGGCAAACCTGAAGTTTGCATGATAACGAGCTTCTATGTTGCAGCCGGGTGCATCTAATGAATTAGCACTGGGCTATTGAACCAATCTCAGTACAGTATCAAAACATTCGTGTCATTGCACGCATCTTTCCGGAGTTAACAGGAAACGTCGATGAAAGTTCCGTGGATATTACTTTGCTCTTCGATACCACCTGATGCATTTTCAGTTACTATACAGGCGACTTGAATCATTTTAATTACTCACATTGTCATTCTATTCAATAAAATAAATTAATAGGAGCATTAGAATGGAACTGTCATATAAAGCAAGCTATAGTGTGGCCGTAGTGAATACGATTGATGCCTTAGGTGTAACGACCGAACAGGCTTAGCCCGGCCCAACATCCGCGCTGCTGGTCGC